TAATAGCCCAAAAGAAGCTGGCACGGAGGGGAGAGAATAAAGACATATCACATTGAGCCGTGCGCCTGTCTGGATGTCTGTTTGTGTTTGGGGTCTGCCAATAAGAATAAAACACATTATGCTCATTAAACCGCAGAGAACAGTGGTTATTCAGTTAGTGCGGGCTAGAGAATAGCTAGTGTGTACGTGTATGCATTCAGGAGGCGGAACTGCTGAGCCTCTCCTGCTCTGCTCCCACTATTAGCCACTGATTTACATGGGGAGCAGCAGCACTGTAGCTAGCTCTGAGTTACGACTTCAATTACATCAGCAGCAGGACACACAAGTGTGCTTGTGCACATGTGCGCACACACACACACACACACACACACACACAATGTGCTTAAGAGAGATGGAGAGACGCAACACAGAAAATCTCATTGTGTCTGCAGATTGGGCCAAACAAGGAAATGAGGCCTCGATTGGATTGGATTTGACAGAAAAATGTGCCTGTGTTCGTGCATGAGAGTGAGTGTCAGGGTTTGCTCTTGTGAGGAAGACGACGTGTGGGGAAGGAGTTTGACCTTGAATGTCTGAAACAGACGTGATTAATCAAAAACCTTTTATGAAATTATTTTCTGTTTCAGTGCACCCCTCAAAGGCTCTTCATTTATCACCCATTATGACCCTGTGTGTTCATGTGTGTGCGCGACACAGAGACAGTCCGTGAGTGCACTCTGACTATTTGTGCAAAGCAACATATAAACTGTCTGCAAGAGAGGTGGGTGGCGTGTTGCAGCCATACAGGAAACCCCATATGCAGAGTTCTGCCTCAGGTGAGCTTATGGGCAAACCCACACTTTATCCACTGCAGCTGAAAAAAGGGCACACAATAGATTTACAACGTTGTCACCAACAATAACACTGTGATAAAGCCTCTATTGTGTGCAAACAAGCACAGTTGCCATATACTTATTATTCATGAAATACTGACAATGGTGGAAAAGCTATTTGAAGAAAAATGTAAACATAACGGAGAGAATTATGAGGAGGAGGAGGGAAGCAGGGAATTATAAAATATTGAAAAATCACAAGAGTGAGAAAGAAGCTGGGGGCGTGCGTGGTGGGAAACATGCAGCTAAGTGAGAGTGAAGGGGAAAGAAGACATTAAAAAAGACTTATGGGGAGCAGCGCGAACAAAATGAAGGAAGGCAGAGATGAAGCGGCAGGGCGATGGGCCGGGCCTTAATGAGGATAGACAGCTCCCATCCATGCCCTGATAAGCAAGAATCTCCAATCACTGCAGTGACACCAACACTATCAACACTATCAATAACAGCTGGGTGGCGAGCACTTCACTGGCATGAAACGAGAGCACGCACGGCATCTGCTAGTGCCAGCCCATATTAAATGGGAAGATACCCTCAAGTACAATCTCAGAAAGAGAGAGAGAGAGAGAGAGAGAGAGAGAGAGAGAGAGAGAGAGAGAGAGCAGATGAGGCAGGACAAGAAAAAGTGCGAGAAAGTAGGAGGCATATATCCTCTAACTCAAAGCGCAACCACAAGAGAGCAAAACAAAAAGGACAAGAATAAGCAAAACAAAACAAAACAAAAAAATGGCATCCATTCGTGCGTCGCGATGTTTGATCATGTGAGTGCATGGTAGCCAGGCAAAGCGTAGGTGTGTGAGGAGAGATGAGGAGAAACTCTAAGTGGGACACCCCCCCACCTCTACCCCCCATCATCATTCTAGCTCAGCCAATAACCAGACGGTCTTAATATCCCGCTCCTCATGCCAGACACACACGCACAAATGTGCACATGCACACACTGAAATGATGAGAAAAATGTATTGAACTCCCAAAACCATCATTAATCTAAACTCCGGTTCCATTAGAGAAGATTCAGCATAATTAGTTTTGCGTGTTTTCAGTGTGTGTGTGTATGTGTGTGTGTGACGGGGAGATGGAAAGTGTATTTGTGTGTGCGTGTACGTGTGTGTGGTTTGAGTTATGAGTCGATGATATTAGATTGTGTCGTAGAGACTGAGGCTTCCCTGGCGATCTGCCATACTGAACATGTGTTTACCATTATTGCGTTTCAGAAGGAGACAAAGCGAAAACTCAATCAGGTGAAATATTATATTACCACCTCTGTATGTGGAACTGTATACCGTGTGTTTATGTTATTTTTGTGTGTGTTTGTGGAGATCCTCTGCTGTGAGGGATAATATTGAGTCGTGTTCTACCATAAGATAATTACACTTTTGCTCTGGGAGGTAACACCCCCACCCCCGCCTACTCGTGTGTATCCGTGTACTGCATGTTTATGTGTAGACCAGAGCATGATGTTATTTGTGCTCCTTTGTGTGCAGTGGGGTCTCTGCATGAAGCCTATGGGGGACAGTTCAAGCCAAAGTACTGCGCAGGGTTCCCCTTACAATGAAAATAAAAATACTTTATGTGTGGGTGTGTGTGTGTGTGTGTGTGTGTGTGAGAGAGCAGATATAGCAGTGAACTCCTCTCATATGACCCAGGGGACTTGGACACAGGCAGTGTGCTGCTAATGCAATCTGGAATAGGAAGTAGGTCTGGGCTGGGCTACAGGCACCTCACTCGTTTGACGAAACATCACGTTGACCGGCTGACTGCTTCTGTTCCGTCCAGCTTTTATCCACATCCAACTTTTCTCTTCTGCTGATCTAAGATCTACATGGAAGTCTGATCAAGGGCACTATTTCTGATGCTAGTTTTTATTCTCTGCTTTTGAAGTTCCGCAATAATTTAATGAGGAGTGTCATTCCATCTCATGTCACACACACACACACACACACACACACACACACACACACACACACACACACACACACACGCAAATCTTTCCTCTGAATTTAAGATGGTCGTGGAATGGACCCTCGGGAAGCTGAGAGAAACTGTTCGGCTGTTGTGCCACCAGGTATCAGGGGTGAGGTGGGCTTCTGTATATTATGCAGAGTAAGCGTATGAAAGCTCTAAAAATGCGCACCACAAGAAACACAGCTGCAGGGTCATTCATGCAAGAACTTACACATGCCCACACGTATGTGTATGTGCACACACAACGCAGGTCAGGCAGTCTTATACATACTGAGCAGGTACCTCTGGAAGCACAATTTAGAAGCTCTCAATTATGTATCTGGTCAGATGCTGTGTTGGCTCACACCTCATTACACACGCTCGCCTTTATCCCACTTCTTTCAGAGAGGAACTGAAAATGCCAGCCGCTCATTTAGCCAGGAGTGGTTAACATTTATGAAAATAGAGAGGAGAAAGCAGATGGGCGGGAGAGGCGTGAGGCAGAGAGAGACGTCCTACATTCTGACAAATGAATCATCAGTCTAAATGAAGGTCTGACAAAAAAAAAAAAAAAATTTAAAAAAAGTTTTTAAAAAAACAAAAACAGGAGGTGCAGTAGATGAACACGGCGTGTCCAGGGCTGAACTGGGCCTCCGCAGCCGAGGAGATAAAGGAATAACTCACTCGCCCTCCCTTGTGAGATAGTGCCCTTACACACAGAATGATTGCACCGTTACGGTTACTGATTGGCTCTCAGCCTGCAACTGATCCCACCGTCACGTTTACTGATGGCATTACCAAGGTAACTGATCACTTTGTCATGGAGACGCCACTACACAAGAGAGTGGGAGGATGACCCAGTATTTATTCCCCCAAATGTCTCTGAGTGTGTGTGTGTGGGGGGTTTGTTTGTGTCCTCAGATTTTTCTGGGTAGTTGGGAGGGGGGGGGGCAATGAGCATTGAGGATGATAAGTCGATTTCCAAATATCTTCTGAAAGGCCCGGGGACGCTGTGTGTTCTGCGTGAGTGGTTAAGGTCACAGCACGGTCAGTCGAGCGAGTAAAGCACCGTCTCTGCACTTTGGTGCTTCTGCGTGTGTGCGTGTGTCTGTTTACATCAATTCGCATTTCTGTGTGTGTCTTAATCAATAGCAGCGAGGAATGAGAGACTGTGTACAGTATACTGTACATGTGACTAACTTCCACAGGCTCGCTTTGAAAGTGTTATTGACTACCGCAGTCTGCCTTTGACCTAAACACAGTGTCTTACTTTCACGTGAACATGCAGGAGGCTCGCAGGCGTTTACACCTATAATATAACATTACATACAAACACTTAGCATTTCAGAAGATGCTGCATGATTGCTGATCTTATTACTGCAAATTCAAAACCTACTTCTCATCACACCCACACACCTTGCTCATATTACACCTGCCAAATCCAACAAATCTGGACCCCACTGGTACTTCAAGTACCACAATGCTTTGCTGGACAACTGTGAAAGCCAGACTAAAACGGAGGGTCTTTTTTTCTTTTATCAGCAGGATGAGTGTTTGCTTCAGGCACATCCACCTGAATAAATGAAGTATCTCACTGTTGAGGCACACCACGATGGCGTAAATTGGGCCAACGTGTGTTCGCGTGTCTGTCTGTGTTTGTTGTTTGTGTTCAGCCACTAATTGGACTGTGTCTGAATGGGTTTTTTCTCTGTGAGTGTGTGTGGAGCACAGAGGGCCAATGAGGGCGGTGTAGACAGTCTAATGCCTCCGCTGAGGAAAAAAGGTTCAAGGACGGATCGCGCGCTCTCTTTATCACACTTTCTCACTCTCTCTGTCTTCGTCCTTTGCTTCCCTCTCTCCCTCCACTTTCGCTCAGTTTTCTCTTCCTGTGGGATATTTAGCAATCCTTTCACTGCTCTCCATTAGGAGACTCCACCTTGCCCTGCACACACAGACATACACACGCACGCACACACCCATGTCCACACAAACTCCAATTAGTGGCTAAACCAGAGACTAAGAGCAATTAGAGCAGGCAGAAATCCTATAAGCTCAGCTGAATTCACTGTGAGTGTGTCTGTGTGAGTGTGTGTGTGAGTGAATCTCTGTTTATCCCTGTTTGTGTGCTGGTCTGTGTCTGTTCCAATTAGGTGTGTGTCTGTCTGGCAAGCAGCCATGCGGCTTTACCTGGCTGTAGGACACTGATGCCAAGCAGGTTGGACGTGCGGTTGGCTACTCTGCTCCAGCTGTTGTTGTAGTTTCTCCTCCAAAGGATGGCGGTGCACTGGTACTTGCCCGCCTCGCGACGCCCTGCCCGGGTCACTGACAGCCGGAAGTTGGTGTTGGAGTGGGAGCGGTCCACCGTGGTGCGGGTACCCAGCCCGAGCAACTGCTCCCCCCACTGCAGCGTGCCCTCGCGGGTGAAAGTCACCAGGTCTTTGAACTCTCCCTGATCCTCGTCGTCGGTTTCTGTGCCAGCCGGCATGAAGCGCCAGGTGACCGACGTGGGGACGCGAGGGTTGTGACGGGGCTTGACCAGGCACAGGAGGTCAAAAGAGTCTCCGAAGGTCACAGATGGTGTCCGTGATGAGGCCGACACCATGAAGGAGGACTCTAGAAGGTAGAAGGAGAGAGAGTTGATGTTAGGATGATGCACACAGTACTGCCAGTTGCATAATAATAGCACACAGCTTGAGTGTGTGATTGAGCCTGTTCTCTAAAAGCTTAAAATTCAGCAAATGATGTGGGGGGTTCATAATTGTTAACCGGAAAGAACTCTACTTTTAAGCACAGCCACCAAGAGGAACAAAGCCCCCTGCTGGAACAAATACAGATAGTGTTTACTTAAAGTGCACTGCCTTATTTTTTGTCAAAGCAGCTCTCAAACTTCACAAGCATTTTCTTCCATCATGGCCATTACAGCCTAAAGAGAGCCATTTTGCTTATAACATGTGCATGCATATGTATATACCACTCCTGTGCTTGTGTGCGAGTATGAGGTTGTGTGCTTGGCTTGGTTGTGAGAGTGCGCCTCAAAATTAATGGTGATGCAACAAAGAAAACCCAGGGGAGAGATTTCCTCTAAGCGCTGATGTTCGATCTACGCCCAGCTCTTTGCCAAGTCTAAACTATCCTCATTAGGCTAAAAACATTCACCCAACTCCATATGTTATTGCCAAGATACACCTACACTGGAAAGCAAAGGAGACAAGAGAGCGAGAGATAGACTATATAAAGAAAAAATCCTTTTTATCCGTGGCCTTTTAATAACCTGGCCCTGCTACGCCTTTTTTGGGGCATTTCAATGAACGTGAATGATTGAGTGGGAATATGAGAAAGACAGTATTACACAGATAAAAAAAAAAAAGGAAGTGGGTGGTGGAATGGAGAGATGTTGATGAAGTCAGATTTTTCCCAGACCCGATAATTCATTTCCTTGAGACTTCGCAGATTTCTCCATTATGTTCTTGTCAACAGCCCTGTCGCTTTCTCTCTGTCCCTCACCCTCTGTCTTCCTCTGACAGCCGTCATCCCCGGTGTCCTTCAGGGTGTGTAATCAATGGCTTTCTGTCCAGACTTGGCTACTGCTGGGACAGCCGCCTGGGGCCATAATTCTCTAATAGACAATAACTCTCCCCTCTCGCTCTATCTCTCATCTCCCCTGCGCCCCTATTCCATCCATCCGTCCGTTTCCCTCGCCGTCTGCCTGCCTCTGTGACAGAAAAGAGGATTTCACGCCGACCCATTTTCCCATACAACAATTTGTGTGAATAAACACGAATGCGTTTGTTTCCTTCACTGTACAAAGTGTGTGTGGTGGAGTGCCAGAGTGTGTCAATGAGTACCTCCTATGTGTGTGTGTGTGTGTGTGTGTGTACACATACTTTGCCACCCCAGACACCCTGAGGGCCCCCACTAAGAACCTTTGTCTTCACCGTGACAAAAAAACGAAACAAAAAAACACAAGATTCCCTGAGGACATCCATCTCCCACCCACTCCATGTCTTGTCAGCAAGACGAGGGAATCAATAAAGGAGGGAGCTATGAACTACATTAGGATACAGTGATCATATGTAATATCTTGGGGCTGCTGTGGTAGAGTGGGTTGTCCACTAAAGGTTTGATCCTTGCCTCCACCTGAACCCCTAGTTGCTCCCGAGCTGCTGCTGCGCTGTGTGTGTGTGTGTGTGTGTGTGTGTGAGAGAGAGAGAGAGAGAGAGAGAGAGAGAGAGAGAGAGAGAGAGAGAGAGAGAGAGAGAGAGAGAGAGAGAGAGAGAGAGAGAGAGAGAGAGAGAGAGAGAGAGAGTGTGTGAGAGAGAGTCGGAGGCAAAAGGTTGTAAGTGTTTTGTAACCACTAAGGTAAAAAAAGGTGCTATATAAGTGCATCTATCTTTAGCTTCTGCCTGTTGTCTGGTTCACTCAGAGGACAGGTCAGGGTGAAGCTCAATCTGAGCTCAGAGGGGAGATAGAGATCAAGTTTCTTCTTCTTTATTTATTAGGTGCTAGCACTAAAGAAGCAAGGCGAGGGTTGTAGAAGAAGAAGAAGAAAGCTGAAACACAGGAGTGCTCTATCTGCATGGCGGGTTTAGCTCCAATGATACTGCATTTGGAAGCTAAAGTGAGAAAAATGAGGATCCAAAAACAAGTCTGAGACGAAGTTAAACACACACACACACACACACACACACACACACACACACACACACACACACTGGCCGTCACACAACAGCGCACATTTGGAAAATCCTTTGATCAACAAGCATGGAGGAGAGGAGGAGGAGATGTCGAGGAGTGTAACTGAAGAGAGACGAGCAGCTTTGGACTTCTTTTCCCTCATTTGCATAATACGTCCCTTGTTCCTCAAACTAATGTTTTTGTTGTTGCCCGAATATAACAAATGGCCACTTAAAAACTGACATCTCCTCTCTGCAGCACCGCTGTGTGTTGCTGCAGGGAGCTAATCCGTTGGTTGGTGTGTGTGTATGTTTGTGTGTGTGTGTGTGTGTGTGTGTGTGAGTGAGTGAGAGAGAGAGAGAGAGAGAGAGTGTGTGAGAGAGAGTCGGAGGCAAAAGGTTGTAAGTGTTTTGTAACCACTAAGGTAAAAAAAGGTGCTATATAAGTGCATCTATCTTTAGCTTCTGCCTGTTGTCTGGTTCACTCAGAGGACAGGTCAGGGTGAAGCTCAATCTGAGCTCAGAGGGGAGATAGAGATCAAGTTTCTTCTTCTTTATTTATTAGGTGCTAGCACTAAAGAAGCAAGGCGAGGGTTGTAGAAGAAGAAGAAGAAAGCTGAAACACAGGAGTGCTCTATCTGCATGGCGGGTTTAGCTCCAATGATACTGCATTTGGAAGCTAAAGTGAGAAAAATGAGGATCCAAAAACAAGTCTGAGACGAAGTTAAACACACACACACACACACACACACACACTGGCCGTCACACAACAGCGCACATTTGGAAAATCCTTTGATCAACAAGCATGGAGGAGAGGAGGAGGAGATGTCGAGGAGTGTAACTGAAGAGAGACGAGCAGCTTTGGACTTCTTTTCCCTCATTTGCATAATACGTCCCTTGTTCCTCAAACTAATGTTTTTGTTGTTGCCCGAATATAACAAATGGCCACTTAAAAACTGACATCTCCTCTCTGCAGCACCGCTGTGTGTTGCTGCAGGGAGCTAATCCGTTGGTTGGTGTGTGTGTATGTTTGTGTGTGTGTGTGTGTGTGTGTGTGTGTGTGTATGTTTGTGTGTGTGTGTGTGTGTGTGTGTGTATTGAGCCCAGTGCTCCTGGCCTGCCAGCTCCTAACTGCCCCGCTCCAGTGGCTTCCTCAGCCTGTACCGAGGATGTTAAGCTTAACTCAGCACTGACAGAGGAGACCCACAGACTGTGAAACACATTGCTGCTGCATTTCCATTCTAATAATTCTGGCTAATCCATATGGGTGACTGTGAGTGTGTGCGCCTGTGATGGGTGTCATGGAGGCCTTGCTCTTGATGTGTGGCAGGTGGTGTGTGTATGTGTGTGTGTGTGTGTGTTTGTGTGCGATAATAGCTCGTTCCCCTGGGCGGGGCATGAATAAACCATTGTGTATTCTAATATGTGAACTGCATGTTCCTCCTGAGCCATTCATCAGTCTTAAGCAAGTCACACACCACATGCCTCTCTCTCAGGGTGTGCATTCGTGCAGACACACTGTCTTGTCCTCAGCGTTTACATGCTTTACTGACTCAGAGGTATTCCAATGTGCACAGTGTTTGAGTTAAATTAGCCTTCTAAAACTTACCAACAGTCTTGACAGTGACTGTCTTGGTGGCTGACTTCTCTCCCATCTTCTCCCAGTTTAGCTCTGGGTCTGTCTGAGACCAATCAGTGACTGTGCAGCGGTACTGGCCCTCGTCCCCCGGTAAGGAATTGTACAGGGACAGAGAGAATGTGTCTTCTCGAACCTTCTCCACACGTATCTCCCCATAACTGGAGCGCTCCCTGTAGGTGGGGCTGTGCCAAATCGTGCCGTCTCGGTCCACAGACGCCACCTCCTGGGCCGGTCCAGTCGCCTGCTTGTCTGTCCACTGCCAGACAACGGACAGGGGGCCTGTGGTCGACTGGACTGAGCAGATCAACTGGATCACGTCGCCCTCTAGGACCTCTGAGGAGTTACTGGACAACGACACGGTGATGTTGCTCTCTGAGAGGGAAGAGAAAAGAGACAACGAGGTGAGCGTGAAAAGCACATATCTGAGAAAGGATGCATAAAGACAGGAGACAGGGAAGGAGCTTGAAAAAGTTCCTCAAAATCTCAACTCCCTCTCACGCTGGATCTCACAGACAACAAAAATCACATTCTCTGCGTTGAATCATTCAGAAGGCCAGGGGCAGTAAAACAAATTGTTGAGCCTGTTCCCGGGAGTATAACACAATCCTGTGCAAGTGCGCTGTGCAGGTGTGTTCGCATGCTTGCGTGTGTGTGTGTTTGTAAGAGCGTGTGTGGGGAGGACGATAGCGCAGTTTGTAACTGGCCTCGGGCACATCAGAGTGACAGCCAGAGAAGAGGCCCTGGTGAGTTTGTGCGTGTGGGTTGGGATTCTCTCTATGAACCTTGTGTAGCTTTGCTGACCAAGTCCACAAGGGCACAGGAAAGAAGACTGAGATCACAGGGCTCAGTGGCACTTCAGAAGAAGAGGAGGATAAAAGTCTTTACTGGCTCTCCTGCTCTGTTTTTCTGCTTTATCTCCGCTCTCATCCCTTCAGCGTCCATCAAACATTATGGGGCTGTGGTTGACCCAAAGGCTCTCTTAGCTCTGTGGGGCCCGACACTGCCGTCTTCTGGGGGTGTGGCTCAAGGTTTCTCCTTTTTTTTTTTTTTTTTTTCTTCCTTTCCCCTCAGGCCAAGCACTGCTGCTTCCCTCTTCCCTCCTAATAAGCATGAGCTCTCTGTGAATACGGAATAAACTCGCCTCTCACTTCTATCACACTCAAATGAACAAAAGGAAAATCCTTCCTTTTCTTGTTCTTTTCTGCCTTTCATTTTAACAGCTTCATATTTTTTTTCCACGGCTAAAAACATACTGTATTCTATCACTTTTTGACACTGAGATGTGAAGAGACGAGTGTTAGACAGACATGTTGATACAAACATCCTCGCTCCCTTAAAGTTCTCTAGTTTCTGGACAGTTTCTCTAACTTTCCCTTTCCCTTCTCTTTGGACTTACATTGCAGTTTATCCCCTCTCTCTTTTTTCTCCCCCTGCCCTTGCTCTTGACATTTCTGTCTATATGATAGAGATTCAGTATGGCATGTAAGCTGTCTCTCCCTTTCCCACCGCAAAGGTAAACTCATCCATCAACACCGATTTGTCACAAGCGTTTACCTCTGTTTTTCCTTTCCTGTCACCTTTGCCTGCCTCTGACTGATCAACTTTAACCCCTGTCGCACCCTATTACCAACTCTCACCCAATTCCCACAATTAGAGTGATGAAGCACATCTTGAGACTCTGTGTGTGTGTGTGTGTGTGTGTGTGTGTGTGTGTGTGTGTGTGTGTGTGTGTGTGCGCAGGAGGTGAGAGAGGGCAGACAGTGGAGGGCAATTTGTGCATGAAATAAATGCTGCCTGACCGCTACTGCTGTGCTTCATGGAAGTTCTCGTCCAATAACCATGGCTATTATCCTGTGTAAACACTATAAACATCTTTTATAGGGCATTACGGTCTTTTGTTGGAAAAACAAAACCTCCCGTACAGAAAGGCTCCCAGGAGACTGCTGCAGGCTTGGGGCCATTGTTTTTGGGCTGATTTAGCAGGCGGTGCAGAGCGGTCAGGATAAGGTAGCGTTGGCTGCCTGAGAGGAGATACTACTCTGTGGTTATCATGCTTTATTATACTGGTAGCAGCTGGCTCCTGCCTATTCAAATCCTCAGAGACATAGGGGTGCAAAGAGAAGAGGGAATGGAGCATATGACCCACACTGATGTAAGGCTGTTTTTTTTTTGTTTTTTGTTTTTTTACTGCTGCCACTGACAGCAAGAAGAATCTCAGTGGCAGATGAGAGGATTGGCAGCAAGGTTTTGAAGGTTTGACCGTAAATTTGCATCACTCGGCTTGCGAGCCTGACACGACTGCACCAGCCAGCTCCTGCTTAACACAGCTGAAGAGGACTGCCCCAGCAGAGCACATTAATTTAGCCAGGGGAACCACTTATAGGGCCCTGGAGAGCTAGGCCCCTTTTCTCTGCTTCTTTTCTTTTTCCACGGTTTCATTTCATGGTTGTTAGCTCAGCCTCCTTGAGTCTGGACTCCTCTGCTCTCCATTATCCCACTATAGTGTAACCCCACCCCACCCACCCCCCACTCCCAGCTAAGCCAAGGAAATGGGAAGGACCATAATGCTGCATTACCAATCCTTAGCAATCCACTCAAACAGAAAATACATCAGGAATAAGAGCGCCATTATCCTTTCCCCGCTTACTCACAGCTAACAATAGAGGCTGTGCAGCTATCTGTTATAGGCCACCTTGTAGAGAGCGCGAGGGGGAGGGAGAGAGAGAAATGGAGAAGGAGAGAGACAGAGAGACAGAAAGAGAGAGAGACAGAGGGAGAGAGAGAGAGGCTGGAGAGGAGCACAGTATGACATTCTCCACTGCCTATATGAAGATAAAAGTCCTATTATGAAAAGCTCATCATTCTTAGTGTAATAGACAACTAAAGACGGGACAAGTAAAGCAGTGGCGTCGTGAAACAGATTATTACTCACTGAGCGGCTGGACTGTGATCTGGACATTGCGAGACCTCTTGCTGCGGTCGATGAAGTCTCCCGTGGGTGTCTTCTCCCGCTCGGTCACGCGACAGATGTACTTCCCGGCATCTTCAAGGCGTAGGTGCTGCAGCTTGAGCAGGTGCACGTTGGTGCTCTCTTTGCGTACGGTCATGTGACCAGCCGCCTCGCGGGCGACATAATCGGGGCCCAGGACAGGCACGGCACTGGGGCCCACCACGGCCACCGGTGAGCTGCTGAAGACCCACGACACCGAGAAGAAGCGCTCGGGGACATTCTGGGCCTCAATGGTGCAGCGAAGCTCCAGCGGCTCACCGGCCGTGAAGGACCGTCGCTCCGTGCTCACCTGGATGCTGAAGTCCCGATCTGAGTGAAAGAGACACAGAGGGGACATCAGGGTTAAGGGGTTATAGAACAAGTGGCTGAAAACAAAAAGTTATGTACTGCATGGGAAAATATGATATATGAAACAAAAAAGAAAATCCCTTCCCTCTGAACGTTGCACATAATTGTGGCTTAGTAAGATAAGATATTTATGCACAAAACTCCTTGAACACAGTACTACATTTTAAATAAAATAGCAGAATGGAAAGACTATAAGTGTGTGGGGAGGGGAGGAGGGGGTGCGTTTGTTTTGTTCCCAAACAACTTGTTTCTGATTTCTAAAACAACACTGATGTCTGAATGTGGCCTACAAATGGAATCCATAACACTGTTGCGCTTTCTTAATTTCCACAATCTGCGACTCTAAAGGAGAGCCAGTGAGTGGGTGGGTGGTGAAGGTGGGAGTTAACTTGGTCAGGGATGCGTGGGGGGGGGGGCAATAAAATAGCATCGGTTAGTGCCAATGAGAGGATAGAATAGAGACTAAAGAAGGTTGAGGTCATGCGGTGCATCACTCCGGTAAAACGCTGATCTTTCAGGAGGCCCTGCTCCCTCTCTCTCTCTCTAACTCTCTCTCCCCCCTTGGTTTCACCTCTGCAATAAAAAACACATCTAATTAAAATTCTTTTCAGCGATCTGAAACAGAGTCAGGCGCTCCCTCTTCCTCCTCCTGCATGGTCTCAGAGAGAAGCGAGTAAACACTGCTGCTGCTAGCTCCTCCACTTGGCCAAATTACACTTGCTGTCTGCGCATGTGCTGCTGTGTTTGCGTGTGTGTGTGTGCGCGCACACATGGCTGTGTGTTCAGTCTTATTTGCTGTATTAATTTCCACATGATGAGCACGGTATGTATCAGAGACGGCTGCTTTGCCTCTCAGTGAGGTGGTAGCCGTGAGCTGTAATTACAAAGACTTTAAACAGACTTCCTGAGAAACACGCTCATGGAAAAGTTCAAAGCCTGCCGTTGGTATAGGGCTCATTATGCGGGGGAACGTTCTGATGGGGAGGGAGGGAGGGAGGGAGAAGAGGGGGTATTGTTTTGACATACACAAACATGAATGCTCACACATACTAAATATTGACATACAAACGCATTAAGTGTGTTTGCTTGTGCAGAAACAATCATCATTGACCAATAAACAAGAATTTATTTGTTGACAATTTTGATAAGAAATTCTTAGTTTTCTCATTGATCTCATAAAAATGCCAAACATTCTGCCTCCAGCTCTTCAAATATGAGGATTTGCTGCTTTTTTCAGTTTTTATATTTGGGCTTAGGACTGTTTGTCTCCTTGGTGCTGCATTTTTTTTTTTTTTTACTATTTTTGACATTTTATAAACTAAACAAAAAACCAATTCACAAAAGAAATCATCACTAGATTAACTGATAATAAAATAATCATTACTTGCAGCCCTTGTCCACATGCACATATGCACATAATGGCAAAGGCGTGAAGAGAACAACCCACAGAGGCCAAAACAAAGAACAGCCATGCTATAACAAGGCAGCAGGACGGCAACCCACTGTATTATGACATTTGAATTAACTGTGAATGGAGAGGGAGCAAAGCTAAAAAGAGCCATGACCTGCTTTGACAAAAACTGGTCACCGCTCAGCATGGAGCTCCATTAGGGCTGTGTTTTACAGGAAGAGTTCAACTGAAAGGAGACTTGGGACAGAAAACAATACTCAGTGCAAGTAGCAGACGGAGAAAAGAGAGAGTGGGTGATGGAGAAAAACTGAAGGAGCAGGACAAAAAAAAAAAAAAAATGCAGTGATGAGACACGACTACAATGGAGGAGGTGAGAGAAAGAGAGAAAGAAATAGAGAGAGAGGAGAGAGAGAGAGAGAGAGAGAGAGAGAGAGAGAGAGAGAGAGATAGTAAAAACAGAGAGCGAAAGGTACATTAGGATTCTGTCCATTGCTCCTCTCTCTGATGCCGGCTGTGGGTGATTAGCTAGTGATGGGGCTGTCTTGAGATCCACTCTATCTTTTATAATAGGAGTCTAATGGAGGAGCTGCTCCCTCTCTCTCTAAATTTTTTGTGTCTCTCTGTCAAATATGCACTCGGACAGGTGCACACATCAAATACAAGTTCAGCCTGAAGCTATGCAAGCTGTGGCCTCATCATGTAATAAGTATAAGCACACAAGAAGAGATCAAAATGCATTCACACGCGCACAGAATTGAGTTTGAGCACACAGCCGCGCACAATTCTGCTGTATTCTCTTTGTCACGCAACAACACCTCCATCCATTATAGATTACAGAGAAGACAAAGAGTGACGAAGGGTGCTGAGAGGGGAGCTCTTTGTGCCTTTTGTCTCCTCCTTCAAGTAGCAGGAACTCATCTGACAAACCTGCTTCGCATCTGAGTCACCAGTCTCCTTCTCATCCACCCATCCGCTATCTGGGGCACTATCAACTTGTATTGGTCCAGAGCGGATCTGATGCTTAACGGAGAAAGGCAAAACGATTCCACTTTGAAGTGATTTACTGGCATAAGACACTTGCCACTGTGTGCTGCCTTTGTAATTGAGCTAATGTCAAAACAGTTTATCATACCATCTCCGTGGAAACTTTCCTGGAAGCATGCAAAGAGATTCTTGTGGAGTGCAGCATAGTGTGTGTGATGGGGTCGTGTCGGGTCAGAGGTTATGGGCACATGCAAGTCGGAAGTCGTTTGTTACTGGTCCATCAAGTCTAGATGCTGACAGCTTATTAGATCATTATCATATGAGGCATATTCCTCAACACACTCTTTGTTTCTTCCATGTACTTCCATGATGCACCCATTGTCACTTACTTGACCCCATGTCTCCCTCCCATGCCTTCCCTCCCTCTTCGTCTTCCTCCCTCAGTTGGTAACTCCCTTCCATTAGACAATCTCCTCCTTCAGAGCTTGCCCCAGACCAGCATGGATTCTCCCACTAATGCACTCAAGCACAAACTAGACTGGTGTGATTGTTGACGAGGAGTGATTGAAAAACCCATTCTTGGCTCCTGCTCTCTGGGCCACTCATTGCCTGGAGGGATTGTATATGTGGAAGTCATAGGTCTCCCATGTCAAACACCCACGCTGTTTGGAGCTGGTTAAATTATTCTTGGATATGCTTGTAATGTTGCCCATCAAACAGACACAAATACAAAAGTGGGGAGTCTGTGGAGGTTTCGTTAAGCCCTTTTTAGTACACTAATGAGCTTAGTGCGAGATACTGATCAGCAATCAGAGGAAGCCAGCCCACATGCGTGCGTGTGTGCTTGTCAAAAGGACAGGGACCTAAGAGTAGAGCAGCCTTTACCCTCCCTCCCTCCCTCCCTCCTCTTTTTCACAGAATCTCTCCCCTCTACTCACCAGTGGGCTGAATGCGGAGCTGAGCCTTGTCGCTCTGCTTGCGGGTCATGGCGAACCAGCTGCCGTCCGGGTCCTGAATCCACTCAGCGGCCTGGCAGTAGAGCAGGCCCTGGTCCACCGGCTGCAGCTTGTGAATGGTCAGCCTGTAGGCCGTAGCGCTGGTTTTATCCAGCCTGAGGTCCCCCGCTGTGATCCGCTGCCGGTACGGTCCCCCAGAGCGGAGAACAAAGTCCCTCGACAAGGTGACCAGCTCCTGGGGTGGGGCAGCCGCATCCTCCGGAGATCGAAGGTACCAACCAACTGACAAGTGAGTGTGCTGCAATGTGGTCCGAGACACCTCGCAGGTAAGCTGTAGTGTGTCGCCTTCCACCTTGGACAGAGTCTGGGCTGGAGCTGCTACTGTCAACGAGTCAGCGATGACTGCAAATATGAAGAAAAGAAGAAGAAAGAACATTAGCACTCGGAGTCAGAAGATGTGGAGGTTGTTGGGGATCTGAGGGCACATTAGAAACCCCCAGCCTGTATATAAAAAAAAAAAATCCTCAAATACCATGTAATTCTGTTGTTTGACGGTGGCAGACTAGCCATAATAAAACAGACAATTTTGGTTGACACTATTATGGAGGTGAAAATAAACAGGCATTCTGGGTGGTTCAAAATCAGTTTTACTCCCCATTGTGAGGAAAAGGTGTTAATGCAAACAAGCTTTTGTTCCATTTGTGCTCTCTATTTCCTCTTTAATACATGACTTTCACATGTCACCATGCGTTGATGGCATTTCCTCTATCGCACACACACAGATGCCTCCTTAGACCCCTCTGGCACTTCTTTCAGTCTGATTATATCCCATGAGGATAGCAAACAAAACAGCTCCACACTGGCAACTTACAGCCACGCTCCTTCTCACTTAACTTCTCAAACATTCTTTTTTTTGATCACACATACTAAAATTACAAACTGCAAGTTAAAAAAAATTGCTTTCATAAATTCAGCCCAGCCCTTCTATCTACACTACAATAGAGACGGACTTCAGGCCAGATGGTTGCAAACAGGGGAGATGAGAGAGAGGGACAGCCGAGTGCGAGGAAGCAACAGAGACATCAAGATTTGATCATTTGATGGAAACACTCCAAACATCGACAGAAATAAACATGTAGAGCTTTTAAAAAAAAAAAAAAAAAAAAAAAAAAGGAGCCTGTATTAGCTGAAGAAGTATTTTTGGATGTGTACCAGAGCGGTGCTGTTTGTGTGTGTGTGTGTGTGTGTGTGTGTGTGTGTGTGTGTGTGTGTGTGTGTGTGTGTGTGTGTGTGTTGTGTGGGGAAGAGAGACAGAGAGAGACTGACAGATAGCACTGGACCTAAGATTCCAAAATGTCATGCATTAATGCCAACCAAAAAGAAAAGAGGTCTTAAGGTCATAAAAAGAAAAAAAAAAAAGTAGTGCCAGTATGCTGAGTGTGAGCTCTCACAACTGTGTTTGGATGTGTGTGTCCTCACAAGACAGATCCTGGTTGTCTCCCTATCATTTATACAATCCATGACTTGAGGCTGCAGACACATACACACACACACACACACACACACACACACACACACACACACACACACACACACACACACACACACACACACACACAATGCCTAAGATGCAAAGAATTTACTATGACGTTAGTGTTCAGCGTTCACAACAGACAGCAATCAACCATTTAAGCTACGCTGGGATAAAATGAATCCAGTGAATAAATGCTGAGAGATGCTTTCTTGCATTGCCATGTGGTGACTGGGAGCCCTTCTTAGAAGCCAAAAAAATGGAATTGCTTTGTGCGGGTATATGCTAGTGGAGTGCTTTGTCAAGATGTTTGGCTATTTAGGCTCTTAAGGGATTGTCATTGTGAAGACTACAAATCAGCACGTTTCAGATCTGTGCTTCTCCTCAACTCACCTGCTATGTGGAAGAAAAAGCTTTATTCCCACTTTCTTCAGAATGTACGCAAGTGCGCACTACCTGCATGCATTCAAAGTAAACACGTGGCTCTGTGTGTGTATGTGTGTGCGTGTCCTCATGTGTCTTGTGTGCAAAAACATGAGTAAAATGGAGAGATGGGGATTGCAAGAACAGAGAAACAGACACCACTAATGAAACAAACTAGGAGGGGAAACAAAGGCACAGAGATCAGAGAAAAAAAGATGGCGGGGGCGGAGAAAAGAGGCTTGACATCTGGTTACTGGAGTTTAACAAGACACTCAAAGAGAGGAAACAACGCTAAAACAGAAGTGGCAGGAAAATAAAGTGAGTAATCAGGTGGGTCAGACACAGTGGCACTCTAATGAGATGCTTCATTCGGGAGATATATACAGTAAGCCCAGACAAGAATAAACAGTTTCCTGCAATATTTTGAAGCAATCGTGAAAATACTGACGAGGTCTGAATGAGTAATCCACTTCTAAATTACCTTCAGTGCTTGATAAACAGTCTAACAGCAAGGGAGGCTAATGGCAGTCATGGGCAGCAATAAAACCATTCTGCTGATATATTTGTTTGTTGGTTGTATGGTAAAATGACAAACATGGGAATCTTACTGGGCCTGTATCAGTGTTTATATTCAGAAGTTTTATTTATAATAGGTTAAGGCTGAGCAATCTGTCTCTCCTAACGGCTCTAAATGCTTTCGCTATTGTTCTATAAATCTGTGTTGTCTAAATGAAAGATTCAGTGATTACAAATAAAGAAGACTGACAAGTGAAGCAAAGTTGTCCAGATATGAAGTGGTAGTTTTCATGTTGCCATATTTATATTACATGCACCCACACACACACACACACACACACACACACACACACATATACATATATATATATATATATATATCTATATATATATCTATATATATATCTATGAAGCCCTTTGAAGATACAAGTTACTCTTAGCCTAATTGTAGTCTAATGATGACATTAAATAAAAGGTCATTTTCATTACACAACAACATCTGATTTTGCTCTACAAGGACCTGATGTCGCCAAGTCCACTGACTCCGACTCTCCAGTCAACAGTGAGTGAACGGCAGCCTCACACAGACACACTGTTACCACAACAACACACCTACGCTACAACCTGCAATTGCCATAGCAACCCTCCCACATGATGATGTGGGCCTCTGAGAACACCCGGGGGTTACTATAACAACCGCACCCCCACCTTCCCCAACACCAACCCAATCTTGAACCTGACTGCTGTCACCTCTGTGAACACCACCTGGGGAACAGAGCGTGAAAACAGCAGGCTGACTCTTCACGACACTTGGTCCGCTTCTTATAGAGATATTTAACACATAAAATCCTCTGGGCCAATCAGATCCCTACGCATAGATATATCTGGGAGACAGAACCAATCAGATAGCACCAGCCAATCTCAGCATTTCCAAGGGTCGAGCCGAGGTTGTAAACACACCAAGATCCTCCAATAGTCCCACTGACCTCAATCTGGGAAGGATTAAGAACAGCATGAGATGGCATTCTCTGGCACACACACAAAAGTGAGTGTGTGTGTGCGTGTGTGTGTGTGTGTGTGTGTGTGTGTGTGCTTGTGAGGACCATAACCGCTGTGTGCCTAATTACAACCATTACATTACAAATCTGAGAATATTCAAGAAAATATTCTTGTAATATTTTTCTTGCACTCAACCAATCCCAAAACCAACAATGGATTTATTCAACCATTCATAGCCATAGAGAGTTCACAGACCACAATTATTATCAAAAAACCATTACAAACATTAATGAGCTACATCGTGCCATTGCATGTTTCTTCATTATGATGAAAATGGGCACAGTAGTTTAAGTGAATTCAACATCCTGCAGCATTACATTCTCACAATCACACCAAATGTGTATCAATCCCTAGCTGAAAATAGTCCCTTCCTAACCTTATATTTACCTCACTAACACCGACAAGTCTGCCAGAGAAAGTGTGCTGAGGGTGATGGGAATGGGGATGGAAATGCGTAACATATTCAAAACATTTAGCATCACATTTAGTCATCTCACCGCTGCAAATAACTATGCATGTGTTCACTGCAACTCAATGAACCAATCTTTATTACCATAAAATAAACAGCTCAGGGAATTCATGACGGTTCTGAGATAATTTTCCTTATTTGTACCACATTCGTAGACACTGGAATCTCTCAAGTGCTAGTGATTAAAAATTTTTTTTTTTTTTTTACAGATAAATCAGGTAATCTTTTGCAGCTTGAGATGCAGGTTCTCGTGTGGATGTGAAGAAAAACATGTCTCTGTTATTCTGCTTTTGACACAAAAGCTGTCAGTCCTTTATAAATCTTTAAAACTACTCTCTTCCTGCTCTACCTCATCTGCAATTTTTGCTTTCATCTCTCTCCATTCCTGATCTTCCCCTGCTCTCTCAGCCCTCTGAAGTGAGTGACGGTTGTCATCCCTCAAGCTGGCCTTTTAAGTCCAGTCACACAGGGATAGAATTGTGGGGGACACGAGGACACAAAAATGGAGGAAAAGGGATTTCGCAAAGACGACACAAGAAGAGAAAAAGATGATAATTTATGAAGTCTGATCTCTACATTCTGCATGCACCCAAACTTCTCTCTGCAGTGTCTGAGATGGCTATTGAAGTTGCAGAAGCAGAAAAGATTCTTCACAGAGAAAAGAAGTAACAGGAAATCAAATAGCAGTGTTTGTTTGTGTGTTCAGTGTTTTCATATATGGCTGTTCGTGGGGGGACGTGGTTTTTAAAAGGTGGGAAAAAAAAAAACCCAGCAGATAGTGAAGATCCAACCACCCGACACTTTGAGCTCGCTCTTGTGGTCTTGTCACGGGAGAAGATGATTACATGAGGAACTGGAGAGAATCACAGTACCCTCTGGATGTTGCCACTGCTACACATGTTCTTGCTCACATAAACATGCGCTCTCTCCTTCCACCAACACAAACAACACATGTATGCACCCACACAGATGTCGTTTCACTGAATTTCTCTGCATTTGTTTGCACATGTGCATGTTGATGTGTTATGTGTTTGTGCTCATTTAAATGCTTAAGTGTTAAGCATGAAGGCAGCAAGTTTCTGGGTCTGTTTATTTCTCCGAGAGTCTGCTGGTAGCTTAGAATCAATTTGGAAATGTCAAACTTTTGCCACTAGCTGCTGGCCAATGAAAATGAGGGAGTAGATATGAAAAGGTGTGTAACAAAGGCAATATCCATGAGGGAGCTTTTCTCTCACATATCTTTGAATTCATTCATGCCTGTTGACAAATACTGCAACAGACTGTACGGTGAGGCAGTCAGCAGAAACTATGAGAGCTGATGGGCTGACCCAACTAGCTACACTACATAGACAAATGTAGGTGGACACCTGAACAAAGTATCTGGACATCTTCATATGTTTATTA